TCAAAATTCGCTAAATTCAATTCGCACTCGCTAAATTCAATTCGCACTCGCTAAATTCAATTCGCACTCGCTAAATTTACATTCGCACTCGCTAAATTCCCCACCCCCCTAATTTAGCGAGTGCGAATACAAATTTACATTCGCAGTCGCTAAATTTGCATTCGCACTCGCTAAATTAAGGGGGGGGGGAATTTAGCGAGTGCGAATGTAAATTTAGCGAGTGCGAATGTAAATTTAGCGAGTGCGAATTGAATTTAGCGAGTGCGAATTGAATTTAGCGACCTCCCCCCCCCGTCGCCAAAAAAATTTCGGTTAGTGTACCATTTTAGGGGTCAAAAATTTTTTTCGGACATACCAAAATTTTCCGTGAAGCCAAAAATTTTTCCGGATATCTTAAATTTTCGCCATTTCTTCAAAATATTTTTCTAAATTCCAAAAATTTTCAAAATTTTTTATAAATATAAACTATAAATTACCTGAATCTCGTGATTTTCCTACAAAAAGCATCGTTGGAAATGTGATTTATCACGTATTATTTTACAACTAAAAGGGCACTTCTGCCCCCCCCTGCCCCCCCCTAGCAAAAGGCAAGGGGGGCAGCCGCCCCCCCCCCCTGCCCCCCAGTTCCGGCGTCCCTGCGTAAACTGCTTGTTTTCTATGGATTAATGGAGATAATTTGCAAACAGAAAGAAAGAAAATAACAGAATGGACAATTATAAAGTAGAAGTAAGCAAAAATATTGAAGAAACGTCATTTATGAAGCCATTAATTAATAAAAAGTGTCTTCATTTTAACATTTTCTTGTTATAAAGTTGTCTATTATTAAAACATTGTGCTCAAGTATAATTGTAAAATTTTAAGCACACGTTACGATAGTAACGTTTTAATGGTGTAATATATTGTGTTTTATTAATTATTATGCTTTTGGTATTGGTCACTTGGCCTATTTAATACCCGCCTATATTAAAATGGCCCTATGTTAAAATGGCCAATTGGAATTTATAAATATAGCATATGGAATATTATGG